TGTAAACAGAAAACTGGGTCACTTAATCTTCCAATCAATGCTAAGCAGGTTAGTTTGAATCCCAAATATCCTTGTGTCTGTGGTTGAAAGAACTTCTCCCATTCATTATGTGGACGGATCAGGGATTCCCCCAGTCAATTTTGCCAACAGCTGACAAACCATCTTTGCATTTATGAAAATGAGGCCTCTCTAGAGCCCCATTCTCTGTGCCTTTTGGGGGGGGGGTTCAACTACCCTTCAACTACAGAGGAGATGAATGCTAAGGATGAAATACATGGCCAACAATTTTACAAAAAAATTTTTTTGCTCAGACAAAACCACAGGAGAAAGTAATAGTCATAATGACAGTAAAGTTGCTTGCCAAGACAAATAATTGGGACTTTCAGAATCTTCTTCTATTTTTATTAAGTTACTGGAAAGGGATGCCTTGGCCAGCTATATTATGCAAACATAGTCAGGATGGCCATATACAGTAAGGGTTGTAAAGGTTTTGTCTGGAAAGATTAGTGAACAAATAAAGAACCAAACTTTGATTGTTCTATCTATATCATTCTTGGGCTGAGTCTGACACCAGTCTAAGTTGCTCCATTCTTCCTAGAAAACTGATTTCCTAAAGCCCATCATATCACCTTTTCCTTTAAACGGCACAATCCATGACATGTAAATGCATTTGCCACAATTTGCTGTTTCTGTTCTTACAGTGACTAAGCTCCTAAGCCATAGCCGTTTTGTTCTTTTCTTGCTCAGCTCACAGTTACTCACAGTCACTGATCAGTTCTGTGTGTGTGTGTGTGTGTGTGTGTGTGTTTGTGCGCGCGTGTGTGTGTGTTTATTTATTAATTTATTCACTGGGTAGCTTACAGTGTAAAACAAACAAAGCAGCTATATTAGAAATACAGTATACAAAATATCAAAGTAGAACTCTGTACAGACAAAGCACAAAATGTTTCTTCTGAGAGAACAATAAATTGACCCTCAGCTTAAGGGCAAGGTTTATTTTAAAAACAAGTTTTTAAAACCTGGGTATCTCAAAAAGGTCACCGACATCAACAGGACTGCCAAGCAAGTACTAGGTGTACCTCTCTGGAAAGGACATCTTAAGACTGACAATGGTGTCACCAAGAATGCAACTTTCCTGGGTGGTAAGTACTTACTTTACTTTATTTGGCAGGGACATCTGGAGCAAGACTGCCATAAGGACCTTAAACTTTGGCTGGATATGGGAGAAGACAATCTTCCATATCACTTAGTCCATTAAGAGATGTTCAACTTGAACAATTGACTATTCATCTTTCTCTTCTTCCTTCTTGCATGCCCAATGAAAAGCTGGCTCAATTATCTTTTTAACCCAATCTGAATTAAATTCTGGGTCCATTATTTGTTTCTACCAAAAGTAGTTTCCTTCTCAAAAGCAGCTCTTGCTAAATATGTCACACCAACCTAACGTGAATGTATCTATGCCAAGGAGAAATGATTAAAAAAAAACTTTTCTCGGAGATTCTGTGATTTCTCTCTCTAGAGAAGCACATGCTGCTGCTTCAGTACTTCAGTAAATAGACCAAATTTAATGAGAAGGAATGGAGCTAAATGGAGCAACACTTGCTTTGCATTAGGGAAATCCCAGATTCAGTTCCTGAGACCTCCAGGTATAGATGGGAACAATTCCTCACTGAGATCCATTTGCAAGGTAGACAAACATTATAACCCTGAAATTATAATATAATCCTCTTGATTCTGCTTTATTCATAATTTTACTGTTTGTTTTTAATATGATATAGTACATTAGCTGCTGTTTCTTATGTAATTTTAGGAATATAATTATATTGGAAAAAAATTAAATCATTTTTAAAATACTGTAAGCATCCTTGAAGTTTCTTTCTCTTGAAAAACAGAATATGTGTGTAATATTTTTTAGTCCAGACAATTTACAACACAATAACAATTCAGACTAAACAGTATAACTACATCAATACCAAAAAAGTAGTAATGGTAGCCCAGGTCCACCATTCATACTGTAGGTTTGTTGGAATGTAATGAATCTAAGTCCTTTTTTACAATCTTGTAAATCCCTTAATTCAGAGTAGAATCGAGGAGACTAGATAGAGTGTAATGTTTACTGGCCAGATGGCTTCTTGATGCCATGTGGAGTTTGCAGCAGATATTTTTTTCTTTGAGCCCAAGGAGAAAAAAATATCTGCTCCATAGGAGTGAACTCTCAACCTTCTAAGTGGGAGGCAAGTGTCTTCACCACTAGGCCACCATGCTGCTCAACTTAATGGATCTAACCACCTTATCAAAAGTGAGTAAGTGACTAAGGTGGAAGTGAGTATGGTGGACGTATCTTGGAACAATATTTCTCAGTTTTGGCAACTTTAAGAGATGTGGACTTCAGCTTTCAGAATTCCTTAGCCAGCTTGCTGAGAGTTGAAGTCTAGAGGTGAAGTGCTAATGCAGGAGTGTCAAACTTACACTGTCACGTTGTTGTCACATGACGTATCATGACTTTTCCCCCTGACTTTTCCCTGGAGGGTAGGCGTGCATGATGCATCTGGCCTGCAAGTTTGACACCCCTGTTCTAACATCTTGAAGTTTTTATTTATTTTATTTATTTGTTTTGTCAAGTGTGTATAAGATAATAGATATAAGTACATACAAGACTATGAATACATGAAATGGATACAAATAAAGGGTGTTGTTAGGACAGGGATGGTAGGCATGTTGGTGCACTTATGCACACCCCTTACAGGTCTCTTAGGAATGGGGTGAGATCAACAGTAGAAAGTCTAAGGTTAAAATTGTGGGGGGTTTGGTGTGAAACCACAGAGTCACGTAGTGCATTCCAGGCATTGATCACTCTGTTGCTCAAGTTATATTTTCTGCAATCGAGTTTGGTACAGTTTATCTTATGTTTGTATCTATGGTGTGCTCGTGTACTGTTGTGATGAAGCTGAAGTACTCATTGACAGGTAGAACGTTGTAGTAGCTAATTTTAAAATCACTTTCTTAAAGAGAGACTGTTCCATAATTGGGATGGCTGCTCTCAAGATGGTCTCCAGGCCCCAGATCCCTACTCTTTTTATCAGGGAGGGGGGATCCCTCAGTAGCACATCTTGAAATGAATGAACAAGAGAGGCTGAATCCTGGTGGGAGAGGCAATCATGAAAGCATTCTGATCCCAAACAATGTAAGGCTATGTAATTTAAAATCTCCTCCTTTATAGGACCCAGAAGCTTCTTGGCAGCCAATGCCATGACCAATGTGTGGTGTGATGTTACTAAATTAGCAGTTTCCTGTTAGAAGATGGACTGCAGCATTTTATATCAACTGCAGTTTGGAAATACTTTTCAAGAGCACAACTCGTATAAGGAACACTGTAACAGCCTGCACATGCTGATAAGGGCCTGAGTCACTGGCATTAAAACAACCTGCTCCAAGAAAACTGCAATTGATGTCCAGGCCAAATCAGGGCAAAACAATCCTCCTGGCTACAACTGCCACCTGCGTCTTGACCATCAGCTGAAAATCCAGGAAGATTTTCCACACTGTTGAGGTGCTTCTTTGAGGTAGATGACCCCATGCAGAACCAGCATTGGAAACAAGTTCATTCTAGCATTATTACCAGCAATTCAAAATCGCAGGGATTTATTTTTATCTTCTATTACCTATCCAGACTCTCACCATCCTCAGGCACTGGGTAGGACTTCCACAGAATTGCTCAAGGTGACAATATAGAGTTGAAGATCTGCCACATACTGATCACACCTTATCCTGAATTGACTGATGATCTCCCCCAATAATTTCATATAAATGTTGAATATCCTCCCCATGTTAATATAATAGAAAATCAAAATCTTCCTTCTTTTTTTATTTTATTTTATTTGGTTTGTCAAGAATGTATGGGGAAAAAGTATAAGTATTAGTATAACATATAAACATATAAGTTCAAGCAGGTATAAGTTTATACATAAGAAATGAGTACAAATAAATGGGAACAGTAGGACAGGGATGGTAGGCACATTGGTGCACTTATGCCCACCCCCTTACAGACCTCTTAGGAATTGGATGAGGTTCACAGTAGGCAGTTTAAGCTGTTAAGGTTAAGTTTAAAGTGTGCACTCTGTCTGAATCTGCCCTCTTAGGATACCAAACAGTGGCTCTACACCCAATCCTTGCAAGCAGTTCAGAATACCATAGCTGAAAATTAGTAAGAAGTCTACCAGCACTGAGATTGTTCTGTCCAGCTTTTTAGGTCATCAATCAGAAGGATCACTACTGTTTCCATCCTAAGCCAATGTCCAAATCCTTCCTAGGTCCAGGATCCAGATCAGGGGTGGGTTCCTGCCAGTTCTGTCATCTTCTATAGAAGAGGTTCCACAAATCTACAGTGCCATTTAGAACCAGTTCAAGCTATCTGCCCCCCCCCCACCTGTCCCGTCCACACATCATCAAGATGAAGAGCGAGAGGAGGAATTCTGGGAGTTGAAGTCCACAAGTCATAAAACTGTCAAGTTTGAACACCCCTGGTTTTTTTTTCTAAAGGGTTAGGTGTGCAAGGGTCTTGTAACTTGACAGCTTTAAGACTTGCGTGCTTCAAATGCCAGAGTTTCTGAGCCAACATTTTGGTTGCTAAGCAAGAGCGTTGTTAAGTGAGTTTCACCAGATTTTACAAGTTGACCATGCCCACCGAGTCACATGACTGCCAAGCCACTTCCAGTTGGTCACATGCCTGGCAAGCTACTCCCATCCGGTCACATGCCCAGCAAGCCACTCCCACAAAGCAGGCCACACCTACAGAAGAGGTTCTAAGAATTTTTGAAAACCACCACTGATTAACACCCACACACCTCTATACGTTGTATACTTCAATCCCACGTAGGATCGGCCTGCACAGCTAATCAAGGTAGTAGATCTAGTACAAAGCTAAATCTGTGGCTGCCAATCTAATGTGAGTTGCTGGCACTGTTTTTCTCTGTACTGAAACACTTACTTTTTCCTTTCAGGAAAGAAACTTGGCTACACATTTAACAACCGGAATTTCCATAATGTCTCACTGGGGCAAGGTCAAGAGATAGTAGCAGAACAAGCCCTCGACCTGGCAGCAGCAGAAGGACACTGGGTTATCTTGCAGGTCTGTGTTCTCTTTTAGTTTGGGAGAAGAGGTCTCTTGTCTGCCTTCAAGCCATCTGTTATCCAGAGAGGTGAAAGCAGGAGCAATTGGGAGTAGAACAAATCACTCGTTGACAAATCTCCCAGTCTTTCTGCTGCTTAGAACTTTGTAGAAATACCAGCCTGGGTGAACCTTATTTTGGGGACTAAGAATAATGGAGTTTGCAGACTAAAAAAATCATCTGGATGGCGCTGCTTTGGGAAAAGCTGCTGTTCATTTAGCTTTTACATCAGTACATTTAATTTGCAAATTGGTGTAATGGCTAACTTCTTCAGAAAGGGTCACATAGCCCATGGGAAACAAAGCCACTGGTTGAACTCTCCTTTTGCTGCTGTAGCCTTGAGAAGAAGCTGAAGGTTTATATTCTACATTCCAAAATGACAGGTGGGATTCCTACCCGCCTACATACATTGCTGAATGTACAATTCACATTCTAATGGCTGATACGATTATGTATACTACTTTATTNGGCTGGCAAGCCACTCCCACCTGGTCACATGGCCAGCAAGCCATTCCCACAAATCAGGTCACATCTACAGAGGTTCTAAAAAAATTTGAAACCCACCACTGATCCAGATAATATGTTTCTTTTAGAACCCTTCATAAGAAAAACCCTACTGTGTTCTCCAATAAGTTCCTTTTAAAAAGGGGATCTTGGCAATTGGCTGGAAGTTGAGCTCTACAGCTAGTTTGAGAGTGGCCAAGTTTATTTATTATCTCTTTTATTCACTGGCTGTACTTATTCAAAATCATCAATCCAGCAAATCAGGCAAATAAAAAAAAGATGCTAAAACTTACCCAACTCACTTTTAATCATAATTGCACAAAAGTAAACACTATTGATTCTAAAGTGTATTTGAATTGTTACTATAATAAGCTAAGCTTTTATTTTATGAAATTGTGCTAAAATCTATGTAATTGAAAGGTTTAAAAATTGTTTATTTGATAGGCATTACTAAGTGTCCTACTTCTTATGTTAGCTTTAAAATGTCAATTGAAATGTCAGTTTTGTGTGGTGAATATTCTATCTGAATTCAGCCTCAAGTGATGAAAGGTGGCATTTACCATGCCAGGGCAAATCATTGAAAAGTAGATTTCCTTTCAGAAAAGGGGGGGGAGGAATTTCTCACCACGGAGAAAGCAAAAACAGATAGAAGTGAAATTAACACTACAGCTCTCTTATTCAGCCTGTTCAAGAGAGAAAAATATAAATGACACAGAATAGGCATATGAGGCTCACCTCTGGCACTTTTGTCTATTTTGAGGAGGAAGAAGGATAGGAGTGTGTTACAAGTCTCTATTAATCAAAACCTCTAGGAATTTAGGTTCTTCCAGGGGTGGGCTTCAAAATTTTTAGCAAGGCCAGTTGCTGGATGGGTGTGACCATAGTGGGGATAGCCTAGTCAGCCTCCTGCACCATGTGGGGGGGGGGGTTGCCTTCTCCGGGCTCCAGAGGCTTTCCAGGTGCCTCCTAGAGGGCAAAAATGGCCTCCCAGAGGCCCTCTGGAGGCTGGACTTCCAGTAGGCTGAACTTCCTGAACTTCTGATAGGCCTGTTTTTTCGCCCTCCCCAAGCCTCCGCATGCACCCTGCACTTACCTGCATCCAAAATGGGCTGTGTGGGGAATCTTGGGAGGGGAGGGGTGGACGGGGCAGGGCCAGCCAGGAATGGGAATTAGGGGTTTTCCAAACTCCCAGAATATTAGCTAGAGGTTCTCCCTAACCCCTGAGAGCAGCCCACCCCTGCTTTTCCCTAGTAATTTCCCAGTTGGACTATTGCAATGATCTCTACATGGGACTGCTCTTGAAGAGCATTTCGATATTGCAGCTGTGGCACAGCCAGTAGTTTATCTAATAAATAAATAAATAATAAACAAACTCTCAGAGGTTTACATCCTAAAACATACATACATAAAATTATAGAAATCTAACAATAAAAATGAACAACAATCACACACACACCCCTTTCTTTGTGGATCTGGAATCAAAATCCATCAGTTGGTGAAAGAGCTTAAGAAAAGAAACAAATTAATGTTCACATCATGATAAGAAAATGCCCATGACATTAGGCACATGAATAACTTATATAAGCATGCAAGTATATAGATTAAGAAAAAATCTATAACTATCTGAGATGTAGTTCCAGTTCTTTTATATATAGATTTGGAGGTGGGTTTTGTTCCTGTATCTTCAGATTGGTATTCACTCCTGGTGGCTCCCTGGACAAGTCCTTGCAATTTTTCTGGCAAATTGCTTCCTTCCTTCCTTCCTTCCTTCCTTCCCAGGGCTAAGCAAGACTGACTGGTCCAAGACCTCCCAGCAGGTTTTGTGCCTAAGTCAGGACTAGAATTGGTCTCTCTTTTTTTAATCTGGTACTAAAACTAAACTTTTTATGCATAGTATCATAAACTTACAAGCCTGAACTTAGTCCCTCAAATGTTCCCCGCTTTGAGCTTTGAAGGAAGAAATACAGTACTATGATGTGCTTCAATGCCTCCTCAATTAGGAAGTTTTCTGGGTCACATACAGTCCCCAAGGTCTTTACCATATTTTGATATTCAATCATCTGGGATAAACTAAAGAAGATTCCAAGAAAGGGTTATGGTTTTTTATATGAAATTATCATAAAGTAGGTCACTCCTTAGACTGTTCTGAGTCCAAGGAAGCGGACTATTGACTGAGAATTAGGAAATGGAGGTTCAAACAAACAAAACTATACCTTACCGTACTATTAGAGTTGACATCTTTCTCCATGTTGAAGAAAAAGATATGGCTTAGTATGTCCTTTTTTCTTTTCTTTTTACACAGCAGTTAGTTCTTGCATGCCTTGCGAGCATGGTATAATTTTCTTAATGACTTACTTTCCTACTGAAGAGAAATGTCGAATTTCTTTTTTTCTTTGACATTACTAGAGCCCAAACAGAGGACATTAGTGAAATGATTGATTAAGAGTGTCAATTCTTAGCATCTACACAGATACATTTTCACTGTGATGATCCGCCCCCCACATGTTCTTTCAGCTTATACCCATATCCAAATGTATATAAACAAGATGCTGATGCCTATGTGGCGTTCACAGTAAATACTTTCTCTTTATACCTATAGAGAAACATCTGCCACTGCCTAGAATTAAGCTCTCACCTTCTAAGTGGGAATTGAGCATTTTTATCTCTAGGAGACCATGCTGCTCTTAGGGTTTGATTTTATAAACCAGTCAAACCAGTGCCTCTCCACTGTAAAAGCCCTCCTGATTCCACTGGGACATGCACATTTCACAAAATATTCCAAGAAAAACTATATCTTATTTTCGAATCTTGAGGCAGAGCCAAGATGGCTTGGCTCTATGTATTATTTTGAGAATGCTGACAAATGAAATGCAAAATATATGGACAATCTGCTTTCAAGTGAAGTGAGGGGGGAGGTTTCCATAGCTTGAATGGCTCCCCAACTAAATATAATTTTTCACTGTAATTTCATAGCAGGATATTGATCTTAAAGGGAATAATTATAGATAACCCTAGGGGAATACTGTGCACTGCCCCAGTATATAGGATAGGATTGTGAGTTTTTTCTGTCAACCCAGCTATAGCATGATGTGCCCAAAATTCATCAGATGACTCTTCAGGTACTGAACTACAATTTATTCTTGTTGTTATAGCAGAACTATTAGAGGTAAAGCCTCCCTATGGGAACGTATATTTTGATTGCTTTTATGGTGGCTGCTTTTGAAAAGAATGAACTGATGTTGCTGTTAGTTGCGAAGTCATGTCTGATCCATTGCGACCCCATGGCCAACGTTCCTTCAGGCCTTCCTGTCCTCTTCCATCCCTGGAGTCCATTTAAAATCACACCTACTGCTTCAGTGACTTCATCCAGACACCTCATTCTCTGTTGTCCCCTTCTTCTTTTGCCCTCAATCTTTCCCAGCATTAGGCTCTTCTCCAGTGAGTCCTTCCTTCTCATTATGTGGCCAAAGTTTTTGAGTTTCATCTTCAGAATCTGGCCTTCTAAAGAGCAGTCCGGGTTGATGTCCTCTAGGATTGACCATTTTTATTGTCTTGCAGTCCAAGGGACTCCCAGGAGTCTTCTCCAGCACCAGAGTTCAAAGGGCTCAATTCTTTGGCACTCGGCCTTTCTTATGATCCAACTTTCATACATTGCGGCTAGGAAAACCATAGCCTTGATTATATGTACTTTTGTTGGTAGGGTGATGTCTCTGCTTTTTAGTATGCTGTCTAGATTTGCCACAGCTTTCCTCCCTAGGAGCAAGCATCTTTTAATTTCTTGGCTGCAGTCCCTATCTTGGGGCCCAGGAAAATAAAATCTCTCACTACCTCCATTTCTTCCCATCTATTTCCCAGGAATTGAGAGGGCCGGATGCCATGATCTTAGTTTTCTTAATATTGAGTTTCAAGCTAACTTTTGCACTCTCCTTTTTCATCTACATCAAGAGGCTCTTTAGAGTCTCTTCACTTTCTGCCATTAGAGTTGCATCATCTGTATATCTGAGCAATCTTAATTCTAGCTTTTGATTCATCTTGCCCTGCTTTTCTCATGATGTGCTCTGCATATAAGTTAAATAAGCAGAACTCCTTTCCCAATTTTGAACCAATCAGTTCAAAATTTTGAACGTGTCCAGTTCTCACTGTTGCCTCTTGATCCGCATATAGGTTGAACTGATAAACTCCCATTATTGTATCGTCATCATCCTACTTTTAAAAAAAAGGGGGGGAACCCTAAATAATGTTAAAGGCAAGATTCTTCCTCTGCTGAGCAGATAGATACTGACAACATATTAACATTTTCTGCTTTCCTTTTACTCATCTCTGATTCTGCAAAGCAAATTGACCTTTTACATTTCATGGTAATGGCAGGGTATGACTCATGACTCTCCTGCTCATCCAAGGCTTAGAAACAAACAAGGGAGGAACCAATATATCCTAAATATTGGTGGGGTTTTTT